GCCTTATTTTTAAAAAAAAATTATTTAAAAAATCTACGCCTTAGTAAGGTGTCTGAAAAAAATTATTTAAAAAATCTACGCCTTAGTAAGGTGCCTGAAAAAAATTATTTAAAAAATCTACGCCTTAGTAAGGTGTCTAATAAAAATTATTTAAAAAATCTACGCCTTAGTAAGGTGTCTGAAAAAAATTATTTAAAAAATCTACGCCCTATTTTTAGTAAGGTGTCTGAAAAAAAATATTTAAAAAATCTACGCCCTATTTTTAGTAAGGTGTCTGAAAAAAATTATTTAGAAAATCTACGCCTTAGTAAGGTGTCTGAAAAAAATATTTAAAAAATCTACGCCTTAGTAAGGTGGTGTATAAAATCTCTTAGTAAGGTGTCTGAAAAAAGTTATTTAAAAAATCTACGCCTTAGTAAGGTGTCTAAAAAAATTATGTAAATAAAAATGATTTATTTAAATCTACGCCTTAGTTAGACGTTAAAAAAAAAATATTTAAAAAACTCTATTACTTAGGATGGTGCCGAACATTTTTTTAACCAAGGAAAATAGTTCGAACATGAAAATAACATTTAGAAAATTATTTTATGGCATGGGGAATTTTTCGACGGTTTTTTTAAGTTGTGAATAATATTTCGAACATTAAACAAAATATTTCGAATATTATTTTGAGACGTGAAAAATATTTAGAGGCATGGTTAATTTTTTAAGAATTTTTTAAGGTGTGGATAATGTTTCGAAGAATAAAAAAATATTTCGAATATTTATTTTTAGGGCGTGGCAAATATTTCGAACATTAATAAATATATCGAAAAGCATTTTGAGGAGTGCATAATATTTTGAACCTTATATTATTTCGAACATAAACATAATATTTAAATAACATTATAAAATTATTTCGAAAATTGTTTCGAGGATTGAATAATATTTCGAACATTATTATCAGACGTGGATAATAGTTCGAGCATAAAAATAATATTTCAAAAATATTTTAAGGCGTGGATAATATTTCGAAAATTGTAAAAATATTTGGTAAAATTGTTTTGAGGGGTGGTAAATATTTCGAAAATTATTCTGACGTCTTGTATAGTATTTCGAATATTATTTAAGGAGTCGAACATTATTTTGAGGTTTATATTACTTTGAAGGTTTGAGGTTTATATTGTCGAAGATTATAAAAAAATTTCGGAAGTTCGAACATCAATTTAAGACATTGAAAATATTTCGAACGGCGATTTGCGGCGTGCACAACATTTCGAACATCGAATTAGGGGGTCGAACATAAAAATAAGGCGTAAATAATATTTCGAACATAAAAACAAGGCGTAAATAATATTTCGGATAATATTTCGAACGGCGATGCGGCGTGCACAACATTTAAGGGGGTGGATAATATTTCGAACATCAATTAAGGCCTTGATGATATTTCGAACATCGATTTAATGCGTGGATAATATTTCGAACATCAATTAAAGGGGTGGATAATATTTCGAACATAAAAAGCGGTGTGTAATATTTCGAACATAAAAAGAAGCAGTGGATAATGTTTCCAGTATAAAAATAAGGCCTGGATAATATTTCGAATATACAAAAAAGGCATGAATAATATTTCGAACATTAAACTAAGGCATAGATAATATTTCGAACATCAAAATAAGGTGTGTATAATATTTCGAACAGCGAATTGAGGCGTGAACAATATTTCGAACATCGAATAAATGGATAAAATTTCGAACATCGATTTAAGGCATGGATAATATTTCGAAAATCGATTTAAGCCATGGATAATATATTGAACATCGATTTTATGTGTGGATAATATTTCGAACATAAAAAAACGGTGCGTAATATTTCGAACATAAAAATAAGCAGTGGATAATGTTTCCAGTATAATAATATGGCCTGGATAATATTTCGAACATACAAAAATGGGTGAATAACATTTCGAACATTAAACTAAGGCGTAGATAATATTTCGAACATCAAAATAATATTTCGAACATCGATGGATAATATTTCGAACATCGATTAAGGCGTGGGTAAAATTTCGAACATCGATTTAAGGCATGGATAATATTTCGAACATCGATTTAAGCCATGAATAATATTTCGAACATAAAAATAAGCACTGTATTATAATTCCTACATAAAGATAAGGCGTGGTTAATATTTCGAACGTCAAATTAATGCGTAAATAATATTTCGAGCATCGATTTAAGTCCTGGATAATGTTTCGAACATAAAATTAATGCATACATAATATTTCGAACATCAATTTAAATCCTGGATAATATTTCGAACATAAAAACAAGCACTGTATAATATTTCCTACATAAAAATAAGGCGTGGCTATTATTTCGAATACAAAAATAAGCCGTCGATAATATTTCGAATATAAAAATAAGGCGTGGGTAATATTTCGAACATATATATGAGGTTAGGATAATATTTCGAAACTAAATTACAGTTGAAGATATCATTTCGAACGTCCTCCAAATCTAAGAAACAAATGAAAGTGTTCTCTAATAAATTATTACAACTCTGTCCTCTACAACTCAAACCTCCAGAACGACACTGTCTCTAAAGATTAGTAACCTGTTGTGGCCTCCAATGGCAATTGAAAGGGAACATTTAAATCAAGATTTTGGGATGTTCAGCTTTGTTGGCATTTCGTTTGTTGTTACTGGAAATGTGGACATTCTTGATGTACCTCAGCAACAAACAATATCCAATATAAATTATGATAAAGGTAAAAAAACAAACATTACCTCGGACAACGAATAGCATCCTCATAATAAGTCCAGATTCTAAGCAACAGGTTTTCAAATATTTTTCTTTGCTATTCAAGGTTTGAAATGTTCAAACGAATTATTATTATTTTTTTTTTTTTTTTTTTGAGGAAGAGAGAACTTTTCTGATTTTAACTTTACAAAACTATGATTTCCTGATTTGGTTTTGGTTGTTTGGCCAACCAAACAGGATTCATGATGCTGTTAAACATTTCCTTGTACCGACGAAGATCTTCCTTCTTCGGGTGATTTACAGTCATTGAGAAACATAAACAATTTATTTTTCGAATTGTGTTGTTGCCAAAGACCAGATCTGGTCTAGCCAACACTAGGACATGTCTTCGTCTTCTTCCTTGTTGCATAGCTGATGCAGCCGCTGCTTCTTGCCTGGTGTATTTATAGCATGGCTGGCAACATGTTGCTCCCTTCTGTGAAAGTAACACTTACATTTCCTACACGGCAGTTGGCCAACAATTCGAATCATGTGAAGAAAAATACACTCACTGGCTGCACACTTACATAAACATGTGATTGTCGCTGGAGCAGATTCTGCCCGTCGTTCGGACATTGCCATGTAGCGATTAGACAAAAAAATCATAAACATTAAATCACAGCAGCGCCGGGGAATAGTAGGAAATTGAATACTAATTGGCACCCTACTGGAACTGTCATAACTCGTTTGAATATCTTGTAGTTATTATTTTCGTTGTTTTTTTTTTTTTGGATTTGTGCATGTCAATTTTTGTTGGTGTTGTCTTTTTTGGACAAATTTGAATCAGGAGATACCGGAGAGGATTAAATCAAGAAGAGGATAAATATGAAAATTAATAAAATTATATAGAAAAGGAGGCGTGAATTCGAACTTAGATTTGAGACATGGAGAATATTTCGAACATCAACATGAGGCTTGAATAAAATATCGAACATTAATCTGAGGCGAGAATAATATTTCTAACATCAAACTGAGGCACGAAAGATTTTTCGAACATCAATACTAAGATTTAATAGTTTTTCGAACATGTCTGGATAATATTTCCAACACCAAAATAAGGAGTGAATAATTTTTCGAACATCAAAATAAGGCGTTAACAATATTTCGAACATCAAAATAAGTTGTGTATAATATTTCGAGCACCAAAATAAGGAGTGAATAATATTTCGAACATCAAAATCATGAAAAATATATCGAACATCAAAATAAGGCCTGAATAATATTTCGAACATTAAAATAAGGCGTGGATAATATTTCGAACATTAACAAGGCGTGGATAATATTTCGAACATCAAAATAAGGCGTGAATAATATTTCGAACATTACAATAAAGCGTGAATAATATTTCTAACATCAAAATAAGGCGTAGATAATATTTCGAACATCAAAATAAGGCGTGGATAATATTTCGAACATCAAAATAAGGCGTGGATAATATTCCGAATATCAAAGTAAGTCATGGATAATATTTCGAACACCAAAATAAGGCGTGGATAATTTTTCGGACATCAAAAAAGGGTGGATGATATTTCGAACATCAAAATAAGGCGTGGATAATTTTTCGGACATCAAAATAAGGCGTGGATAATATTTCGGGATTCACAATCAGGCGTGGATAATTTTTCGGACATCAAAATAAGGCGTGGATAATATTTCGGGATTCACAATCAGGCGTGGATAATTTTTCGGACATCAAAATAAGGCGTGGGTAATATTTCGAACATCAAAATAAGGCGTGGATAATATTTCGAACAACAAAATAAGGCGTGGATAATATTTCGAACATTAAAAAAGGCGTCGATAATATTTTGATCATCAAATTAAGGCGTGGATAATATTTCGAACATCAAAATAAGGCGTGGATAATATTTCGAACATCAAAATAAGGCGTGGATAATATTTCGAACATCAAAATAAAGCGTGGATAATATTTCCAACATCAAAATAAGGCGTGGATAATATTCCGAACATCAAAATAAGGCGTGGATAATATTTCGAACATCAAAATAAAGCGTGGATAATATTTCAAACATATATTAAAAGCTATAACTACTATTACGAAATATATCATAAGTATTTCGAACCTATTTTTATGTATGCATTAATATTTCGAACATAAATATTTTTCATGTCTAACTATTCGAACCTCGAAACTTTCTTTGTTATTTTTTTCAAATGTGTTTTCAACCATTTTTATTTTTATTTTCCCTTCCTTCCAGCCCGAAACCGTTCCACAGGCCTGCATCGATATGACCAAAGTTCTAGAGGTGACCACCGCCGAAGATGTTACCGGTCATAGCAATTCGATTGCCATAACAGCACCAGATCGTGTTACGTTCGTTAAAGGTACCTGTCCCGAAGAATCCAAATGGTGGTTAAATATATTGGTCGCCTTCCCCAAGGCCAAAGGTCGTCACAAACGAAATGCCACATTTCCGGGTGCACAGGCCACCACAACCATTAATACCACCGGTAGTCTATTACAATCGAGTAATTCAGATGCAGCAAATACGGCAGCAGCAGCTGTGGCACGCAGTCGTCATAATTCCTATCACAAGGATATTTTAACGTCCACCCAATCGACGGGTGCATCAACAACAACCACAACAACGGCAATGCTCACCGATGAAAAGAAGAAGTCGTCGTCATCGACAACAAACGGTAATACCAAATTATGGTCACACAATGATGTTAAAGTCGGAACAACAACAACAACCACAAGTGGCATGATGGTTCGTAAAAGCCCGTCGAACTCATCAAAAATCACTAAAAACTCCCGAGCAAACATTAAAAACAATCATCGTTGCAATAACAACATGGCTGGAGGTGGTGGTAATGTTGTAGCTACTGTTGGCCACAATGATGATGAGGACGAGGATGAAGTTGTTGCTCACGACGATGATGAAGACGACGACGTCGACGATGATGATGATGAAGATGATGGCGTTGAAACTGGCGAAGATGATGAAGACGATGACGATGATTTGGACGAAGAGGAAAGTGGCCATTCCACTGGTGAAGAATGTAATACCAAAAAGAAAAGCTCCACACTTGGCGGCGGCAGCAATAGCAGCAGCAACAACAACAACAGCAATAATGTTCATGATGAAAATAATCGCAATGCTGTTAATGAAATTAAAAATAGAGGTATGTAGCCATGGTATTAGTCGTTAACATTATTAGGCGGAAAAGAGGGATCGAGAGTCTTAGTCTTAAAAAATTACAGCTATGTTGTTGATTATTTTTATTTTCTTCCCTTTAAAATGAAACTCCCCGTTAAGGAATTGATTAAAATTGCCTAAATGTTTGTTGTTTGTAAAGTACCAGGAAATATGTTTTGTTGTTGCCATCGTTGTTGTAATCAAGAAGAGGTGGTGATTAACGTTTTTCATTTTTTCTTATAAGAAAAATGTACGTGAAAGAAGCTGCTGATGAACGGTAAATTGTTGCAAGATTATGTAATAAGAAGACCAGGACGTAAATAGAACCCAGAAAGGGAGTTCATAAACTATTGGGTGGTATTTCGAACATAAATTTGAGGAAAAGATACTATTTTGAGTATTATAATCGTGCTTGTAAATATTTTAAACATCAAAATAAGTCGTGGATAATACTTCGAACATAAATATAAGGCACGGATAATATTTCGAATATGAATTGGAATAAAGTAAGGCGTGGATAATATTTCTAACTTCCAAATAAGGCCTGGATAATATTTCGCACTCAAAAATACGGCATGGATAATTTCCAACATCAATTGGAGAGCATAAAAATAATGAGCGGATAACATTTCGAACATCGAAATAAGGCGTAGGTTATATTTTGAACATCAGAATAAGGTGTACCTAATAATTCGAACATCAAAATAAGTCGTGAGTCACATTTCGAACATCAAAATAAGGCGTGGATAATATTTAGAACATCGAAATGAGGTATAGATAAAATTTCGAACACCAAAATGAGGCATGGATAATATATCTAACATCGAAATGAGGTATAGATAATATTTCGAACATCAAAATAAGGCGTGAATATTATTTCGAACATCAAAATAAGGCGTGAATATTATTTCGAATATCGAAAAAGAAGAGGATTTTATTTCGAACATAAAAATAAGGCGTACATAATATTTCGAACATCAGAATTAGGTTATTTAATATTTCGAACATCAAAATAAGGCATAGATAATATTTCGAAAATCATAATAAGGCGTAAATAATTAAAAATAAAATTTCGAAAATTAAAATAAGGTGTAGATACAATTTCGAACATCATTTGGAAATAGTATCAACACCTGATACTATTTCCAAAATAATACTAATGAATGGTAATATTCCGAACATTATATCAAAAATTGGATAATATTTCGAACATTATGTCAAGAATGGGATAATATTCCGAACATTAATTAGATTTTCATATTTAAGTGTGTGAAATCTTTCGAATATATTAATTAGGTGTGGTTAATATTAAAAATAATCAAAATATATTTAGAACATAAAATCAAGTAAACAGGTCGTTAAGATCGAATGGGCCGAACTTTTTGTACCCTCCTCCACCTGTTATACCCTCACTTTTTTTAAAAATGTCGGCTTCAATATGTGAAGACTATATCATTGTAAATAGTCAGCTGATAGATTGTTTATGCCCTGAGAAAATTAAATACTTATTTGGAGACCCGTAGATAAGAAAACAAGGTTAGGTACTTCCACAAAACAAACCTTCAACGAACTAATAATAACCCCGCAAAAGCCTCAAACCACTGAAAATGTGCCGAAGCATGGACCGACCAACGTCGAGAACTTGGAATGCAAAATTTCAAGTGGTTTCAATTGTGTTGTGAAATTTAGCTAAAACATTCGAAATATTGACAAAAAATAGATATATATCGAAAAATTCCGAAAAATGTATTTTCACTCTCCAAGAACCTGAAATGCCAAATTACGGCCTCTTATGTTGGCAAATGCGGATTAAACCTTAATAATGCAAAAAATGAGACGGCATATTTATATGAAAGATATGTTAAATCATGTACCTATATCGAAATCCGGCTACGGCAAAAATGGACCTATAACGAAAAAAAATTAAAAATTATTTTCAACCTCCAAGAACCTGGAATGTCAAAATATAGACTCTTCTGTTGACAAATGCGGATTAAACCTTAATAACGCCGAAAATGGGAGGGCATCTATAGATGGGAGCTATGTAAATACATGGACCTATAACGAAAATTTTCGGAAAATATCTTTTTACCTTACAAGAAACTGGAATGTCGTATTACATCGACTTCTGTTGGAAAATGCTGCTATCGCTTTCAAAGTAACGAAAATAGTGCAGGACAGGGGCTTCACTAAGCTTATATTCAGGCTTCTTTAGTTTCGATGTGATTTTTCAACGAATTAATTCCGTCGGATTCATCCGGAAGATCCACAAGGTCAATTGTTGTGTTGTGTTTGGCTCATACGCATAGATCCACGGTACCATTGTGCGGGATTCAATAAGTAATCAGGCGACCATTTGATTCGGAGAGCTTTTTAAAAGCTACTATGTGGTTTCGGACTCACATGGTTTGACGATCTTAGAAACTTCTTTTGAAATACCGCAATCGTATTTTTCAAACTTTCATTGTTTCAAACTGTCTGGAATAAAAAAAATATTTAAAAAATCTTCGCATCTTTTGGCCTTGAAAAACATTCTTTAAAATATCATCGCTTCTATTGGGCCTTGAAAACCTCTTCTTTAGAAAATCTACGATTCTTTTGGCCCATTAAAAAATCTATTAATATTTAGGCCATTGAAAAATACTTGTAAATATCCATTACTATTTAGGGCTTTGAAGCATTTTTGGAGAAATATATAAAAACCCATGTTTTGACCGCCCCATTATCGGTATTTTTAGTATAGCCATCATATAAAATACTTCCACTCAATTCCTATATTTTGAAGTTCCTATGTCAATTTCCAAACCTGAGTGTCTGTATTACTCTCAGAGTATAAATAAATTACTAGCAGAAAATTTACAAAGACAAAGTGCCCATATAAAGGTTCCGACCGATTTAAGGGATTTAGAAGACACACTACATGGGGGATGGTATACAAATTTGTGCCCGTCTTAACGATATTTTTATTCTTATTCGAAAAATCAGTATTTATTAGAAGGCCCTCATGGTATTCTATATTAGCGAAGACTCCCATACAAAAAAATCATGAAAGTCTGATGTTAGACCCCCATTGTATTCTCTCTGATGAGCTCCACAATTCCTTCTCCTTCCACAGGTCTTCTAATGACCACATGCTACTACCACGTGTTTTATTCGACGTTATTCAACATACATACATCTTGTTCTTACAAAAATCACTACAGTTTTTCGTTTCGTTTTTTGTTAAAGGAACCCCCATATAATTTGTAAAATAACCCCTTAAAACAACAACAAGAACAAATGATCGCAATTTTGTTGCTCAAACAGAAAATTAAAAGCATTTTGATGTCCGGACCACAACCAAAACGAAAAATCCGAAACGAAACAAAAGGAATTCTGTAATAAGTTTAATCAATCAACATGATGTATGCTTTTAATAATCGAATTTAATTTGTTCAGCAAGCAATAACAGCAGCAACAACAGCAACTTCACAAAAATTTGACCACAACCAACAACAACAAAAACAACTACGGCTACGAAAATATTGTTTATTAAACGAAAACTGTGCCGCATGTGATTTCGCACTCGATTGTTACCAATTTTTTGTTGTTGCTGTTCGTTATTTCATATTCTTTTCGTTTTCATTGAGTTTTCAGTTTATTTTGGATCTGGAGCATAGTGTGGAGTTCAAGATGCTGCATCTGATGATGATGGCGATGCCAATGATGGTGCTTTGGTAATACCATAGTTGTGATATTATTACCACCATCACAATTTGTTGCCTTAGGCCATCAATATTATCAACCAGAACAACAATTTAATGCGTGCAGCTTGTTTATGAATATCAACAGACACAGACCCTGGCAATATGTGACCCTCAGACAACCGGCACACAGCTGCAACACACTATTGTTACGGCTCTGATCATAAGTGGCCAGACAGTTTTTGTTTCGCCTTTACTCTGCAACACAAAAAAACAACTCTCGTGGAGATTGAGTACCTCAAAAATGTATGATGTAGCCTTCTGCCCTTCCTTCCTTCCTTCTACTGTAGTTCATAAGAATTTGTACTTTAATTGTGACCTTGAAAACAACTTTGTCGTTCTTGTTGTTGTTGTCGTTGTTTTGGACAAACCTCTTCTTTTTCCTTTCATTTTCTTTAGTACGCAGTTTGGTGTGGTAGAGATTTTAAAATGGGAAAAACATCGCCTTGAAAAAATGTTTAAGAAATCCACGCCTTTGATAGGTCCTTGGAAAAATATTTCTAAGAAATCCACGTCTCTGATAGGTCCTTGGAAAAATATTTCTAAGAAATCCACGCCTCTGATAGGTCATTGGAAAAATATTTCTAAGAAATCCACGCCTCTGATAGGTCCTTGAAAAAATATTTCTAAGAAATCCACGCCTCTGATAGGCCCATGAAAAAATATTTCTAAGAAATCCACGCCTCTGATAGGTCCATGAAAAAATATTTCTAAGAAATCCACGCCTCTGTGGGTCCTCGAAAAAATATGTTTAAGAAATCCACGCCTCTGATAGGTTTTTGAAAAAATATGTTTAAGAAATCCACGCCTCTGATAGGTTTTTGAAAAAATATGTTTAAGAAATCCACGCCTCTGATAGGTTTTTGAAAAAATATTATTTAAAAAATCCACGCCTATAGTAGGTACTCGAGAAAAAATCGAAAAGAACGGTTGTCCCATAAGCCGAGCTTAAAAAAGATTTTCAAGCGCATCGGTCTTGTGCGCATCTCCTACAGTTTGAAAGACCACGTTCCAAGATTTTGTTTTCTACTATCTTTCCATCTAATACGTGGCCTTCCCCTTCTACGGGAACCATCAGTAGGCTCACTTTTATATGCCTTTTGAGCCGGGGCATTCTCATTCATTCGCACAACATGGCCTAGCCACCGTAGTCGCTGCAGCTTAATACGACTGACTGATCGTCGACGCAGATCGGCCCGTAGATCTTTCGGAGAATTTTTCTTTCAAACACCCCAAGAGCTGC